GAATAGTGCTGTTAATGGTGATATCGGTAAAACTTTTGCTGGAGCATTCGTTCCCACTATTTTTTATCAGAATAATTAGAACCAGTCTCTGTGGGAGGCAGGATCATTATGCTTGACTTAGACACCATGAGAGCTCTGATATCTGGGATCAGTGGTATCTCCCTCTCACACCCCCTGCATGTACACACCTGTGAGCAGAGAGTAGACAGAGGGGATTGAGAGACTTGGTTAGTAATAGAATGATAGAATAGTAGGACTGGAAGGGACCAGCAATGTTCTTCAGTGACCGTTCCACCCCCTCTGCTGCCTCAAGCACCGTGCTTCAGTGACCGTTCCACCCCCTCTGCTGCCTCAGGAGATGGAACAGACAGATTCCAGGGGGTGTGACTGAGAAGTATCCAGAGAAATTACAGTCCTGGGGGATGCTGGAGAGATGAGGGGAGGGGAGCCTGATGGGCAGCAAGCAGTGGAGCTGGAGATAGAGAAGATGACATTGGGAGCAACTGTCAGCCATTTATGGATGGGGAGTGGCAGGAGTGGTGAGGAATATGAAGTAGAGAGAGAGAAATCAATTGATAGCAAAGCATGCATCTAGCAAACACTTACCTTTAGTTTCCTCTAACACCCAGGGAATAAATCAGTCACCTTGGGATCTTTTCTGAATTATAATCCATTATATAGACACAGAATTTCCCTGTGTTGTGTCTGAGAACCAGTCCTTGTGAAGTCCCATCAAAGAAATGTCTTCTTTATGCTGGGTAGGGTGGGATAGAGCAATCATAACATTAGGGCAGCTTGTGACCTTAGATCAGTGTTATAAGATCAGGAAGTGTCTTTGTTACTTCTTTTCTGTGAACCATAACGGAAATGGCTTAGTAAAGGCTATTTATGAAGGGATGCCTATCACTGAAAACTGCTATTATGTGAGCCATCTGGTGCATTTAGGGTGTAACCAAGTGAGTGACTTAGCATGCAATTTAGAACTGCCTTAATGTTGAGGGCTTTTTTGCCAAATACAATATTTCTGTTACATTTAGTTAGAATTATATATATGTTTTAAAAATCAAATAACCATGATATCTGGGCCAATAAAATATATTCTATAGATACCAAAGTCTATATTTTTGCCCAAGCATATTTATTTTATCTTAATGTAGCAGTAAATATTTGTGAATTTTACTACAAAGCTATCTACTAGAAAGATAGTTTGATAAAAAGCATTTTGAGAGGGTGGACAGTAGAGACATAAAATTGATTAATTGGCTAATCGAATAGTCGATAAGAGTGCCTCCGCCTTTGAAGTATAGTAATAGCTCCAGGGCTTTTTCTACACGTCAAAGGTGGAAGTGTTGCGGGGAGCATGGTGCCGGAAATGGACTCAAGTATTCCCCCATTGGTCCCGTGCTTCTGCGGCGTTTCAAAGACTCAGAGTCCCCAGCTGACTTCTAGCTCCATGAGGCACTGCTGCTTTGAAACTCTGCGGGAAACCCAGCATCAGGCTTCACACCTGTGTTTCAAAGTGGCAGCACTGCATGGAGCCCGGGCTCAGTGAGGGAGTTCCCAGCTGAGCCCGGGCTCCATGCTGTGCAGCTGCTTTGAAACGCCATGTGCATCCCGAGGACTCCCAGCTGGCCCCAGTCTGCACACAGCATTTCAAAGTGGCAGCAGTGTGTGGCGCCCAGGGTCTGGCCCTGGGCTCCACATGGCATTGCCATTTGGAAGCACCCCCTCCTTTTTCCCTCTTGCTGCATCTTTCTGATAGAGGCAGCAAGTGGGGGGGAGGGAGAGGGTTAGGAGGGGGAGAAGTCACTAGTCAACTAGCATGTTGACAATCTGATAAGCATTTGCATATTGGATAGTCGACTAGTTGTTCACATCCCTAGTGGACAGGAGGGGAAGTCATGTATAGACATTAATCATGGAATGGTGACTTGATTGTATTTGCCCAAACATCTCAGGTTTCCAAAATGCAAACTGTCCTAAAAGAAGTAATTCACCTAACCATCAATATAGTTAAACAACTTTACTCATTGTGTGATTCAGTATTAAGCATGATCATTGTAACAGTAAAATAATCACAGAGGGACACCAATTAAGGAGCAGTGATCAAGGGTAATGCAATGGAAATAGGTGACCCAAGAGATATATGAGAAGGAAACTAAAGTGGAGACACCATCCCAAATGCAGATGGCCACAATGTGAAAGCATCAGCCCCCTGATCCCTGTGCAATATTGGGGTTGGGCAAACAGTTTGGCCTGAGAGCGATACCTGATCAGTCAAATACTATGATGGGCCACATGTGCTTGTTTGGTTGACCTCCTTCCAGGGGCAACCCCTGATTGGGGTTGGGCAAACATTTTGGCTTGAGAGAGATACCTGAACAGGCAAATACTATGATGGGCTACAGGTGCTTGTTTGGTTGACCTCCTTCCAGGGCAGTATTGGCAATGAGTGGAGCAGGGAAGCTCTCAATTCCACTTCCTATCAGGAGCTGGAAGGCCAGGTGCAAATGTCCAATGGTCTGTATGCAGCCTGTGAGGTTTAGTTTGCCTTCCCCACTTCAACATCTTGAGAAATCCAGAATTTATCTATGGCTATGTCTAGACTATCCTGTGTTGACAGAGGGATGCAAATCAAGCACGTCAAAATTGCTAATGAAGCGGGGATTTAAATATCACATGCTTCATTAGCATAAACATGGCCACCACCTTTTTTTGAAATGGAGTTTTTTTGAAGAAAAAAAAAAGCAGTCTAGATGCAGCTCTGTCAAAAATAAAGCCTTTTTCGACAGATCCCGTAAACCTCATTTTTTGAGGAATACAGGATCTGTCAAAAGGTTTTATTTTCGACAGATCCACATCTAGATTGCCGTTTTTTCTAAAAAAACTCCATTTAGAAAAAAAGCGGAGGCCATGTTTATGCTAATGAGGCACAGGATATTTAAATCCCTGCTTCATTAGCAATTTCGATGTGCTTGATTTGCATCCCTTTTTAGCTGTTAAGACACTACCGCAATATGCAGGCTATTCCTACTGATTTTTGCAGGCAAGCAATACTCAGGGCATGCTGTGAACTGCAGCTGCTGGGAACCCCCCAGTTTCCTCCCTCCGGACTTGACTTTAGTTTGTCAACTGAGCTTAACCAGGTACAGCAACTTCTAGTACTGGCCACCATCTCTACGGCCCATTTCTCTCTCTGTGTCTGTGTGATTCTGTGCTCACAACATTAATTTCTCTGGTGTCTTGCATTAAAAAGTGTTGCAGAATACCATCTCTATGGCCCATTTCTCTCTGTGTGTCTGTGTGTGATTCCGTGCACACAGCATTAATTTCTGTAGTGTCTTGCATTAAAAAGTGTTGCAGAATTCCTCCATGGGTACAAGTCTAATAAAATGAGAGGTTTTTGTATCCTTGTTTTGCCATATGTGAGGTTCTTACTGATACCAAAGGATCATTCACTTACTTCTAGGTCATTATGCATCTAGATTTAATAATACAAGAAAGGAATAGAGGTATAAATGGTTAATAGAGCATTTACATTAAGCTATTGCAAAGTGCCTGCATCAGGTTTGTAGAAATGAGGAAACAGCCTGCTGGCTGGCAAATGTCTCTCTGGTCACTTCTGAAAGATTGGTCGTCCATCAGTCCATGGTTCAAGATGGTTCTTTTAGTTGATTAATCCATAGTTTAGATAGAGAATTAGAGCCCCAAAGAGGCAAAATGGAGGTGTCTAATGGACGTTTTCTACGTTCACATACATTTTCTGTCCCAAACAAAGCCCACAACACCTGTGGATGGAAATTTACTGACCCAGGATAGAGTCTTAGGTTACATGTCCTGCTCACATGGCCTTCCATGGTTTGCTGAATTACAAGGTGACCACTGATGTCTTACTGCCTGAGGTATTCAAAGGAAGGGGCCTATTGGAAAAGATGAATTTCTTCCATCACCCATTGTGAACTAAATGTCCTTAATGGGCTAACAACATAGAGCTGTCTTGTCCTAATGTAAATATTGTTGATGTGTGGTCCAGGAACAACATACATCTTAACGGTGTAAATACCTGGTCAATATTCATAACTTTAGATGCATAGATGATACATGACTTGAATCAGGAGAACCATACTTAATAAGGATAGAAATGTAGCCGTGTTAGTCTGGTGTAGCTGAAACAAAAAATAGGACTATGTAGCACTTTAAAGACTAACAAGATGGTTTATTAGGTGATGAGCTTTCGTGGGCCAGACCCACTTCCACTATTTGATCTGAGGAAGTGGGTCTGGCCCACAAAAGCTCATCACCTAATAAACCATCTTGTTAGTCTTTAAAGTGCTACATAGTCCTGTTTTTTGTTTCATTTTAGTGGGAATTCTGTTCTTATTCCCAGGGAAAGTAGTGGGATCTATAGATAAAGAGAGTTATTTTCAGCCCCTTTTCTCTGAATTGTTGGTATACTGTGTTTTAGAGAGCTCTTTACTTCAGCCCTACTTCTATTTAAAATGGACATAAATTATTTTCCTACCAATTGTATTATAATTAAATATGTACTAACATCAACTCCAAAAATTTGAGGCCATATTTGGGACTCTAAGTAAAACTATAAAACACAAACATTTCTCAAATTGTATTGGGACAGCTGTCTACACTGGCTGCTTAAATTTCTGCAAAAGCACTGATGATCTCATGTAAGATTGTCAGTGCTTTTGCGGGAATACTATGCTGCTCCCGTTCGGGCAAAAGTCTTTTTCCGAAAAACTTTTGTGCAAAAGGGCCAGTGTAGACTGCAGAGATTTGTTTTCCGCAAAAAAGCCCCGATCACAAAAATGGCGATTGGGGCTTTTTTGCGGAAAAGCGCGTCTAGATTGGCCATGGACGCTTTTCCGCAAAAAGTGCTTTTGTGGAAAAGCGTCCTGCCAATCTAGACGTGCTTTTCTGAAAATGCTTTTAACGGAAAACTTTTCCGTTAAAAGCATTTCTGGAAAATCATGCCAGTGTAGACGTAGCTGTAGGGTGTAAGAGGAGAATGGTCTCAGGGGAGAATCTATTGGGGAGACTGAATCTGAAGGCACAATTTAATACCCGGCTCTACAATGCCAGGGAGCTTTTGTGTTTAGATAAACTCCCATCTGAGTTTGCTGTTTTAGTATAAATATAAGGAAATGTTTCCAGGACAAAGATGCAGAAGTCAAGAGTGCAGACAGTGACTTCCTGCACATTTTGTGGGATTGTCCCTGCACAAGAGTTCTCACAACAGGATGCTTCACTCTGGGATTTCACTTCTTTTCTTGGAACCATTTTCTCCAAATCCACAGGTGTTCACTCCTCGATAATCAAATGTAGTTTACAGGGTGGTGAGGAGCTATTTGCAAACAGCCTCTACAGAAGAGACAGGAACACACCCTCAGAGCACATTGTTATCAGAGTGACCGTTCTGCCACATGGGGTTGGAAACAAAAATTACCAGGTTCAGCATCTAGGGGTGCCTCTAAACCGTATGAAACAGAACCAGCACAATCTGCCTGCCAGGAATCTGGGAAAACTGAATGCCACCCCTGCTACCTCTATGAATCAATCCTTCTACTACTGTAGGCATTGAGTCCATGTTTAAGAAAAACAAAGTATTATTATGAGAAGAAAACACAATATTGATTTGGGAAAACGCTGCACCAGTGGCCAGAAAGTACAGAAACAATAAGTAAAACACCATCCTTGCAGTATTTTGGTCATTACTGTTAGCTTCGTTTCCCATGTCGGGGCTGTTTGTTCACACCCTGCTTACATCAGATCAAGCTAGTTTACTGTATATTCAAGAACCAGAACATTCAAAGAAATATTCATGGTCAGAGATTTTTTTTTACATTCCAGGGAAAATGAATGGTCATGCTCCTGCTTACAGACCAGGCACAGCTGCAACCTAGATGACAGCCTCAGGCCCATACAGATGGGAGATATGTTCTAAGTTTCCCACGTCGGGGCTGTTTGTTCCGACCCTGTTTACATCAGATCAAGCTAATTAACTCCATATAGAGAAATAGAACATGCAAAGAAATATTCATGGTCAGAGATTTTTCTTATGTTCTAGGGAAAAGGAATGGTACAGTCCTGCTCCTATTAAATTCAAAGGAAATGTTGTCCCTGATTTCAGTGTCACCAGGATTGGGCTCTGAGTGAGGATGACAGTGTTCTAGATACGCAGAACACAGGGGAATGGAGTGAGGGGAACTTTCTCTTCTCTAATTTCTTTGAATTTTATGACTGTTCTGGATCAGTGGTTCTCAACCAATCATTGTGAGCCACATATGCAGCCACATAAAATTCATACTACCTTTATGGGCCTGAGACTGTTCCATAGGATGTAGCTGGGTGCTGATTGGGCTGCAAGTGGCCTATGTGCCTAGAACCATTGTTCTAGAGACACCTGCACCTATAATAGGGTCTTCCACGTTGGTTGTCGTAGAGGTTTCCATGACACTAATCCTTTCCTCTGGTATCCATCTCCCCTTCAAACACATTCTGGAGCGCCTTTTTGACAGATCCCTTGAATTGTTGATTCCTGTAGCTCCCAACAAAGAAGTAAATAACCGGGTTAATGCTGCTGTTGAGAGAAGCCAGCAATAAACTGGAAGTGATGAAATGTTCATAATGAACATAGTTGTGAAAGAAGGTCACAATGCTGAAGGGAACAACTAAGAGGAGGAAGAAAAGGACGTTGAGCAGGATAACGATGTAGAGCTTTCCTGGCTGGGATCCCTGGGACCTTCGTGGGACCTTGATGATCAGGATGAGACTGGACAGAACTGTGATGGGAGTGAATATCAGGAAATTTGTGCCAGTGAGTCGGATGACCATTTTAAGGCAATAGTTTGAGAATAAAAAGCAAACTATAGAACTCACTCCAGTGAGCAGGCCAGAGAGAGCCCAGAGCAAGGCACAGATAATGGCAGACAGGTGCTTTGGGCGGTGGCATCGATGCCAGATGGGGAAAAGGACAGACACGCATCGTTCAGCACTGATGGCCGTTAGAAGGTACAGGCTGGTGCTGTATGTGAACACAAGCAGCAAGTCCAAAGACTTCGTTAAGTCTTTCAAGTGAAATAAAGGTGTGACATGTACTGTGCGAGAAACAGCCAAGCAGAGTAGGAAGCCAAAGTCAGAAGCAGCCAGATTGAGAACATAGATGGTGAAGACAGTCCTCTTAATGCGGAAACCAAGAAACGAAAGCACAATTCCATTTCCCACCAGCCCCAACAGGCAGATTATCAGAGTGACTCCAGCGATTGCTATAGTTACATGATCTCTTTCAAAATCAGCCTTATCATTTTTGGTTCCATTTTCCTGGCTGGGCTTTGTTAGGGGCAGTGATGTTGTCCTCAGCACAGTCATCATGAAACCTCTGCTCCAGGATGCTGGTCTCTCCTTCTACCCCTCTCTCTCACACCTGTTGGCAGAGAGGAGATGGGGGAATCAGTGTGTCAGACATCCTCAGTGCCGTGTTTCACTGATCATTCTAGCCCCTCCCCGGCCTCCTGGCCTGAAACAGCCAGGTCCCAACCAGCGTGAAATATCCAGAACCACAATGGCTTTTTTGGTGATGTTAGGTGCAGAGAGAGACAAGGAGAAAGGCTAACGGGTGGGAAGTGTCTAGCACAGAGACAGAGAGAAGTTAAACATGGAAGCTACGTCTAGACTGGCATGATTTTCTGGAAATGCTTTTAACGGAAATGTTTTCTGTTAAAAGCATTTTCGGAACAGAGTGTCCAGATTGGCACGGATGCTTTTCCGCAAAAGCACTTTTCTGAATCTTGGATCTTTTCTGAATTATAATTCTTATATGGACACACAAATTTCCTGTGTGGTGTCTGACAACCAATCCTTGTCAAGTGCAATCCAAGAAATATGTTGCTTCTACTGCGTAGAGTAGGATACAGTTATCTTAACATCAAGGCCGCTTGTGAGCATAGGTCAGTGTTATAGGATCAGGCAATGTCTTTGTTACTTCTTTTCTGCAAACCATAACGGAAATGGCTTGCTAAAGATTATTTTGCAAGGAATTGCTATCACAGAAAACTGGTACTATCTGAGAAAGGCATCTGGTATTATCTGAGTCTGTCAGTCTTGTATGGAAAGGGAATTATAGGAAAGAGACAGGAGTGAAGAATGGATATTGGGAGAGGGAAAAAGAACATCCATGTGGTGTTAATGATGACAAACAACAGAGAATCCATCCACTAAACCCTGGCCTTGTTTCCCTCTACTGAACTGAGTGTGTATTGAAGTGTCTGGAACTATGCCTGGATTCAGTGTGTAGTGGAACTGAAGTGGGCCATATCCACTTTAGAATTTTAGGGTCAGTCAGCGCCATGGTGATGGGGGATATAGAGAGGAACCATGCAGCTTAGGTTTGAGCTCATGACGAGGTTGTTGCTGGATAGCAGGGGCCAAAATTCAGCCAGAAACAGGGGCCAGAGGATCAGCCCAGAGAGCAGGCTGTGGTACCTGGGGAGCCAGGCTGAGAGCGCAAACCAGACCAAAGTGAGGGGATCTGACTGAAATGAGGAGAATTACCAGGCCAGGCAACATATCCTAGGACTCACTCAACAAGTTCTCGTTACAACCAGACAGGTCCCTGTTTGAGGCTAAGACCCAGGTACACAAAGCTATTTGGAGGTTAGGTGTCTCTATGCCTTTAAGGGTCTGGGCCTAAGAGACTGGGGCAGAGGTACAGTTTATACATGGGTGGAGGGGAGAGTGTTACTTAAACCCTATGGCTACGCCTACACTAGCATGATTTTCCGAAAATGCTTTTAACGGAAAAGTTTTTCGTTAAAAGCATTTTCGGAAAAGCACATCTAGATTGGCAGGATGCTTTTCCGCAAAAGCACTTTTTGTGGAAAAGCGTCCGTGGCCTATTTAGATGCGGTTTTCCGCAAAAAAGCCCCGATCGCCATTTTCGCGATTGGGGCTTTTTTGCAGAAAACAGTACTATGCTGTCTACACTAGCCCTTTTGCGCAAAAGTCTTTCGGAAAAAGACTTTTGCCCGAACGGGAACAGCATAGTATTTCTGGAAAAGCACTGATGATTTTACATGAGATCGTCAGTGCTTTTCCAGAAATTCAAGCGGCCAGTGTAGACAGCTGGCAAGTTTTTCCGCAAAATCAAATGATTTTGCGGAAAAAGTTACCAGTCTAGACACAGCCTATGAGACTGAAGTAAGTATCTAAATGAGGTACTTAAATTGAGCCTTTGGTGAGTTACTCACCTGAAATAACAATGTTTTATTTAAACTCATCGTGAGGATGTGGTCACCCCGCACCAGACTAGATGGGTTCCGAGGGCCACATAGCCCAGTTAACTGGGCTGGCTGAACCTGGAGGAGGACCAGGGATTTGATGGGAGAAGGATCTAAGCAAGATCAGAAGGGGAGAAAGTCAGTTTAAAGTGCAGAAGCTGGGAGCAGATGTGGGTTGCTGAGGAGGAGTCTGCAGTCACTTGCTAGGTGAAGGATAGGGGTGTGTTTGGGGCAACAAAGGGAAGTATGCTACAGTCTCTGGAGCATTCATTCCCATAATTTTTATCAGAATAATTTATGATAATTTCTCTGTAGGAGACAAGAACATTATACTCAGCTCAGTCATCATGAATTGTCTGCTTTCTGTGATAGGTGGTATCTCCCTTTCAGCCCCACAGCATGTGCACACTTGTTAGCAGAGCAGACAGAGGGGGTTCAGAGACCCGATTATCCCCAGCACTGTTCTCCACTGACCATTTCAGTCCCTCTGCTGCCTCATGGTCTGGAATAACCAGATCCCAGTGGGCGTGAGTGAGATGTATCCAGAGAGATTACAGTATGGGAGGATAGCAGGGACAGAAAGAGATGGGTTGAAAACCTGATTGGCAGGGAGCAGCTGAGAGAGAGAGAAAGGAGAGAAAAATACATTGGGAGTAACTGTCAGCCATTTATGAATTGAGAGTGGCAGTGATATGGGGAATATGAAGTGGAGAGAAACAAAGCAATCGATAGCAAAGAATCCATCTAGCAAACACTTACCTTTGGTTTTCTCTACCACCCGGGGAATGAATGAATTTTTCTTGGATCTTTTCTGAATTATAATTCTTATATGGACACACAAATTTCCTGTGTGGTGTCTGACAACCAATCCTTGTCAAGTGCAATCCAAGAAATATGTTGCTTCTACTGCGTAGAGTAGGATACAGTTATCTTAACATCAAGGCCGCTTGTGAGCATAGGTCAGTGTTATAGGATCAGGCAATGTCTTTGTTACTTCTTTTCTGCAAACCATAACGGAAATGGCTTGCTAAAGATTATTTTGCAAGGAATTGCTATCACAGAAAACTGGTACTATCTGAGAAAGGCATCTGGTATTATCTGAGTGTAAACAACTTAGTTACTTTACATGAAATTTAGAAGTGTCCTTACTTTTCAAGGTTTTTCTTTTCAAAATATATTTCGGTTACATTTTGTTACAATTATATGTGCTTTAAAAATCCCATTGCCATGATATCTGGGCCAATAACATATATTCTATATATACCCAAAGCTATATTTTTGCCCAAGAATATTTATTTTAATGTAATGTGCCAGTAAATATTTGTGATTTTTATTACAAAGCTCTCTACTGGAAAGATAGATTGATAAAAAGCATTTAGGAGAGGAAATAATGTACAGATATTATCCATGGAATGATGACTTTATAGTACAGTGAAACCTTTTTATCTGACACTCTGTTAACCAAAAAACTTTGTTAACTGGCATGACGCCCAGCAACAATACTGTCACTTCTTCAGATGCACAGGCCTGTCTTGGTTTACCATGATTGGTTTAACAATTTTTTAATTAAGAAGTACTAATAATCTTGAGCTCAACATAGAAATGTGAGACCAACTGCCTCACACTACAAAACTACCAATATTAAAAACTCGAGTTTTACTATTATTGTCCACTGGTTTTTCCTAGGTTGATGGGACCCTCAGCTGAAATTTTTAGGTAAGTGGAATGCCCTAATCCCTGAGCGTGCTGGATAACACAGATTTTTCTGTATTTGCCCAAACACCTCAGGATCTTCAAAATGATAACTGTTGTTACTTATAACTATCAGTATCGTTAAACAATTTTACTCACTATGGGTATGTCTACACTGCCATCCTAGTTCGAACTAGGGTGGCTAATGTAGGCATTCGAACTTGCAAATGAAGCTCGGTATTTAAATATCCTGGGCTTTATTTGCATGTTCCCGGGTGCTGCCATTTTTAAATGCCCTTTAGTTTGAACTACCTGCCCGCAGCTACACGCGGCACAGACTAGGTAGTTCAAAACACAAGACTGGAAGGGTTCAAGTGGGCACGTAGCCCAATTAATTGGGCAAGGCTGCACCTGGAGGAGGAGCCAAGAAGCAGGGAAATGACTAGAGGGGGAACTCAGCAGGACAGGAAGGGAAAGAAGCTGGTTTGGAGCCCAGGAGCTGAGAGTTGGTGGGCACTGCTGAGCAGGAGTCAGCAGTCCCTTGCTGGATGAAGGAGGGAGGTGTGTTTGGGGCTATAGTGGTACGCTACAGTCAGTCCTTAGGAGGAGGGAGTTTCATCTGGGAAAGCCAGAGAGAGGGGAGAGCCAGAAATGCAGGAAGGGCTCTTAATGCAGAAGCTGAGAAACTGTTCCCCACCAGCCCCAACAGTCAGATAAGCAGAGTGACGCTGTTAATGGAGATATCCGTAAAATATTCTCTGGAGCATTCTTTCCCATTTTTGTTATCCTCAGAATAATTAAGGTTGGTCTCTGTGGGAGGGAGGATTGTTGTGTGCTCAGTTACCATGAGACCACTGCTCTCTGATAGGGGGTATCTCCCACTCACACACATTGCGCGTGTAGAGAGCAAACAGAGGGGTTATTCGCAGACTGTGCTTCACTGACCATTTTAGCCTCTCTTCTGCCTCCTGGCTTGGAACAGCCAGATCCCACTCGGTGTGACTGAGAAATATACAGAGATTAATGTGCTGGGGGATGCTGTGGATAGAAAGAGATGGGGAGAAAGCCTGATGGGAAGGGAGCAGCAGAGAGGGAGAGTGATTGAGAGGAACTATCCCCCATTTATGGACTGGGAGTGGTAGGAATTGACATGGGGATTATGAAGTGGAGAGAGATAAAGCAATCAACAGCAAAGAATTAATCTAGCAAACACTTTGTCTACCTCTATGCTGGCATTGATTTTGCGCATGAACTCTTTTGCAGAAGAGTTCTTGTGCAAAAACTCTTCCAGAAGAGCGCATCTACACTGGCATGTACCTTTGTGCAAGAGATGTGCTTTTGTGCAAGAGCATCCATGCCAGAGTAGACGCTCTCTTGCACAAGAAAGCTCTGAAGGCCATTTTAACCATAGGGCTTTCTTGCGCAAGAAATTCATGATGCCTGTCTACACTGGCTCTTGCGCAAGAACAGTTGCGCAAAAGGGCTTATTCCTGAGTGGGAGTATCATAGTTCTTGCGCAAAAAGCCCTGATTTCATACATTAGAACGTCAGTGTTCTTGCGCAAGAACTCGCCGTCAGTGTAGACAGGCAGCAAGTTTTTGCGCAAAAGCTTTTGCTTTTGCGCAAGATCGCACCAATGTAGACACAGCCTTACCTTTAGTTTCTTCTAACACCTGGGGAATGAATCCATCTTCCGGGGATCTTTTCTGAATTATAATCTGTTATATGGGCACACAGTTTCCCTGTACTGTGTCCAACAACCAGTCTTTGTCAAGTCTGATTGTAGAAATATCTTTCTTATATTTCATAGCATGGGTTAAAGAGATGATAACATCAGGGCAGTTTGTGAGAATAGGTCAGTGTTATATATTAGGCAATGTCTGTGTTATTTATTTTCTACAAAGCATAACGGAAATGGCTTTCTATAAGCTATCTCTCAACAGATCCCTATCACAAAAAACTGCTATTATCTGAGAGAGCCAACTGGTGCATTTAGGCATCTAGGATGTAACCAATGTAGTTACTTGGCACAAAATTTAGAACTTGTCTTATTTTTCAGAGCTTTTTTGCCAAAAAAATACTTCTGTTACATCAGGGGTCATCAACCTTTTTAAGCCACAAGATCACTTTTTGAATTTAAGTGCAATGTAAACCCAAACACCCTTCCCCCATCTTCTTTGTGACCCTTTTTCTCAGGCCCTGCCTCTGCTCACTCCATCCTCCCACTCTCCATCTCCCATTCTCCCTCCCTTTCACCAGGCAGGGACACAGGGTCAGGGCACAAACTCTGGTCTTGGGCTAAGGGATTCGGAATGTGAAGGGCTCTGAGCTGAGCCTGGGGCAGGGAGTAGGGGTTCAGGAGGGGGTTCAGGCTCTGTAAGGGAGTTTGGGTCGAGGGAGCTTGGGGTGCAGCAGGGAGTTCATAGCTGGGTCCAGATTGACATGGCTTATCTCCAGTTGCTCCTGTGTGGTGGTGCAGTGGGGCGAAGGCAGGATCATCTTTGCTTGGCCTTTCACCACTCTCACATGCAGACAACAAACTCCATTCCAAGCCCTGGGTGCCCCCCGCATCTCCCATTCTGTGGAGATAGAATACAGGGTGGAAGAGGGGGCACCCTGACATCAGCAGCCCCTCCTTTCCCTTTCCTAATCTGTACCACAAGCAGGAATCTCCCGGGCAGGAGAAAAGGCAGTTCCAAGGCAAAGGGCAGGAGATGTGCAGCAGTGCGGGGAAGGGCAGCTGGTGTGCTGGCACTTGATAGCTTCTTGGCCAAACCAGTCAAGATCACCTGTCAGAGACTTCAAGATCTACTGGTAGATCCCAATCTACTGGCTGGTGAGCACTGTGTTACATTATATTACAATTATATATGTGTTAAAAATTCCCACCACCATAATTTCTGGGTCAATAATATATATTCTATACATATCCAAAGCTATATTTTTTGCCTGGGAATATTTAATTTAATTTAACTTAATATGGCAGTACATATTTGTGATTTTTACTAGAAATCTGTATACTAGAAAGAGAGATTGATAAAAAGCATTTTGACAGGGTAGAGAGGAGAAGAAATAATGTACAGACATTAACCATAGAGTGGTGACTTTATTGTATTTGCTCAAACACATCCGGAATCCCAAAATGCAAACTGACCTAAAAGAAGTAATTCTTACAACAATCTGTATAGGTAAATAACTTTACTTATTATATGGTTCACTTCTAAGTATGATCATTGGAATCATATTGTGCATAAAAGCCTCCTCCAATAACTTAAATAAAGAGGTGAGGTTAAATATTTTAAATAAATGAATATCATCATAATAGTCAAATAATCCTAGAAGTACACAAATCAAGGAGTAGTGATCAAGGGTAATGCAATGGAGATAGGTTAATAGAGATATATGAGAACGAAACTAGAGTGGCCACAATATGAAAGCACCAGCCCCATGTGTCCTATGTGATACGGGATTAGGTAGAGAGGGGAGCTGGCCTTTGAACTCTGGTTGGTGAGATGAGTGTGAGGAAACCCCACCTCTGACTCCCTGGTGCCAGCCCATCTATCACCGAAGAAAACGAATGCCGCCCTCCACTGTCCAGCTGGAGCTATGGGATGGGTTACAGGCCATTCTCTTGTCTCTGGGCCAATCAGCTGGCACAGAAACTGGGCTAGAGAATGCAATCACGTGGTTAGGTCAACAATAAATGTTGCTGCTGCTGCTCCTTGTTGGAGGAAGGAAACTCCAACCCCCTCCACCTGGGGTCAGAGTTTGGCCAAGGGAGAAGGATGTAGAAAGGCCTCAGAAGACCCTAGTGCAACAATAGTTTAGAGGTCCTCGCTCCAATTCTAAAATCTCAAATTTTGTTTATCTTTATCACAGGGTTGGGCAAATGTTTTGGCCTCAGGGCGATACCTGTGTAGGCAAATAGTACGGCAGGCCATAGGTGCTTGTTTGCTTCACATTTTTCCAGTGGTTGATTTGTAATGAGCTATGTACAGAAGCTCTGATCCCACTTCCCGGCGGGATCTTGAGGGTCAGATGAGAAGGCCCAATGAGTTATAAAAGGCCTGTGGTGTCAGGTCTGCCAATCTCTGCTTTATCATCTTGAGAAATCCAGAACTTGTCCACCTTAGCTGCAAGACACTACCACAGTAGTTTTTTGCAGGCTAGGTACACACTGGGCTGTTCACTGTAGCTCCAGGAAAACTGCCAGTTTCCTACACCCAGATTCAACTTCAGGTCTAGGAGCCTGTAGTAGTGGCCAAGATCTCTATAGCCCATTTCTCTGTGTGTGCGCTTGGAGGGGGAGGGGAGGGGAAGAGTTGATTCTGCTCACACAACCTTAAATTTTGCAGAGTCCTGTATTACAGAGTGTTGCAGAATTCTTCCAGGGGAAACAAGTCTAATAAAATGAGAGGTTATTGTAACTCCATTTTGCCATAGCTAAGGTTCTTACTGATGTCAAAGGATCAGACACCTCCCAGTCAATATGTCTCTAAATTTAATAATACAAGAAAGGAATACAGGTATAAATGGTTCATAGAGCATTTAAATACAAACAATGGCAAAGTGCTTCTGTCAGGTTTGTAGAAATGATGGGACAGGCTGGCTGGCAAAAGTGTCTCTGCGCACTTCCAAGAGATTGGTAGGTCCTCAGTCCATGGTTCAGGATGGTCCTTTTAGTTGTAGATCCATAGTCTAGGCAATTAAAGCGGAAAAGTGGCAAAATGGAGGCATCTCAGTGACCTTTTCTCTGTGCAAGTTAATTTACTGTCCTAAACAAAGCCCACAGCACCGGTGAGTGGAAAGTTTCTGACACAGGAGGTCTCACAACAGAGATGCTGGGATTTTGCCTCTTCTCCAGAGACCATTTTCCCCTCAAATCCGCACTTATTCACTCCCCACGTTACCAAGCCCAGTTTACAGGTGGTGAGAAGTCATTTGCAAACAGCCTCTACAGAAGAGACAGTAACACATCCTCAGAGCGCGTCATTATTCGAGTGACTGTTCTGACACATATTGTTGGCAACAAACATTACTGGGTTCAGCATCTAGGGGTTCCTCTAAGCAATACAAAATAGAACCAGCACAAACCTGCCAGCCGGAAATCTGCATGATACCCTGGCTACCTCAATCCTTCCACTATTGCAAGGACCGACTGTGTGTATAATACAAGCAAAGTTTCATGAAGAGAAGAAAACAGAGCATTGATTTGGGAAAACGCTGCTCTAGTGACAGGGAAACTCACAAACTTTATGTAAAACACCCTCCTTGCAGTATATTGGCTGTTGTCCTTTGCCCAGTTTACCATGTCAGGGCTGAGTTTGTTCAGACCCTGCTTATGTGATATCAAATTAATTCATTTAATCTCGGAGAACTAGCACATCCACAGAAATATTTATGGGCAGAGATTTTCCTTACATAAGAGGAAAAATGAATGTTACAGTCAGGCTCCTGCTCGTATTAAAGTCAAAGTAAATGCTCCTGATTTCACGGGCACCAGGACTGGGCCCTGAATGAGGATGACAGTCCACTAGATACACAGAGCACAGGAGAACGGAATGAAGGGAACTTTCTCTTCTCTCATTTATCTATATGGGTCTGTGCTGTCAGAAAGTCTGTAACTGGGTGCTGATTGGGCTGCAAGCGGCCTATTTGTTTGAAACCATTGTCCTAGATAAATATTCAGCCCATAATAGGGTCTTCCAGGTTGGTTGCCATAGGGATTTAAGTAGCACTAACCCTTTCCTCTCTGATATCTGCCTCCTCTTCAAACATACTCCTGAGTGCCTTTTTGACTGATCCCCCAAATTGTTGATTCCTATAGCTCCCAATGAGGAAGTAAATAACTGGGTTAATGCTGCTGTTGATAGGGGCCAGCATTAAACTAGAATTAATAAAATAGTCATAATTAATAGCTTTTTGGAAGAAGGTGACAATACTGAAGGAAACAATTAAGAGGAGGAAGAAGAGGACATTCAGCGAGATAACAATGTAGAGCTTTCTTGGCTGGTGTCGCAGGGAACTTCTTTGGACCTTGATGATGAGGATCAGACTTGTCAGAACTATGATGGGGGTGAATATCTGGAAATTCATTCTAGTGAGCTGGAGGAGTATCTCTTGACGATGTTCAGAGCAGGAGTCGGAAAAGCAAACATATGCTTTCAGTCCAGTGAGCAGGCAGGAGAGAGCCCAGAGCAATGCACAGAGAATGGCAGAGAGGTGCTTGGGGCAGTAGGATCGATACCAGATGGAGCAAAGGACAGATGCGCACCTTTCCACACTGATGGCTGTCAGAAAGGACAGCCTGGTGCTGTACGTGAACACCATCAACAAGTCCAATGACATTGATAAGTACAATAAATTGAAGTCGAAGACTGTACAGGAAAGAGCCAAGCAGAGGAGGAAGCCAAAGTCAGCAGCAGCCAGGTTGAGGACATAGACGGTGAAGGCATTCCTCTTAATGTGGAAGCCAAGGAACCAGAGCACAAGCCCATTTCCCACCAGCCCCAACAGGCAGATGAACAGAATAACATAAACTAGTGATTTAATTACAGGTTGATCTTGTTGATCTGTAGATGAACTCAATAGAATGACAAAGTTCCCATAATATTTGGTTGCGTTTTTCATGCTGGACTCTGTTGGGTGCAGGGATGTTGTCCTCTGTCCAGTCATCACGAAAGCTCTGCTGATGGATGCTGGACTCTCCTTGTACCCCTCTCTTACACTCCTGTAGGCAGAGAACAGATGGGGTATCAGTGTCTCAGACTTTCCCCATGCCGTGTTTCACTGATTGTTCCAGTCGCTCCCAGGCTCCTTGGCCTGGAACTGCCAGTTCCTGAGTGTGAGATCTCCAGAGCCCATAATGGCCTTGAGGGGTCTTAGTAACAGAGAGAGACATGGAGAAAGGCTCGTTGGTGTAGACTACTTTGGATGCAGAGGCAGAGAGACCGTTCAAGATGGAGAGAGGAGCAGTGGGGGAAGAAAGATATTGGAAGGGCTGTCAATCGTTTATGGAAAGGGAATGATAGAAAAGGGACGGGGTGCAGAATGGATATTGGGAGAGAGAAAAAGAAGATCCATGTAGCCTGTAGTGTTAATGATGACACAGAATACAGAATCCATCCACCAAATCCTTACCTTGCTTCCCTCTTTTTATCTGCGTGTGTACTGAAATGTCTTGAAGTCTAAATTGGACCTAGAGCAGGGTGGATCCAACTTAGACTATCAAGGTCAGTTGGTCAGTAATTGAGATTCTCCCCATAGGGTCCTTTTCCAAAAGTTATTTGAGGAAGACTCTGTTTTCAGGATACTAAAACTTTCCCTGTGGGCTCCTGTGCCATATCTGACACCCAGTCCATAACGGATCCCACGTGAGAAGTGCCTGCAATGCACTGGACAGGGAGATGCGTTGCAATCAGAGGTTTTACATGAGTACTGGAAAGCTTTATGATACCTGAAAGTATCAGGTCTCTGCTCCCTGCACATGTTTGCTTCTCATTATTATTATTATCCCCAGCCCTGTGCTTCACTGACTATTCCAGTCCCTCTGCTGTCTAATGACCTGAAACAGCTAGATCCTAGTGGATGTGACTGAGAAAAAGCCAGGGAGATTACAGTCCTGGGGGATGGCAGAGACAGAAAGAAATGGGGGTGGGGAAAAGCCTTATGGGCAGGGAGCAGCTGAGAGAGACAGACAGACAGAGGAAAATACATTGGGAGAAACTGTCAGCCATTTATGGATTGAGAGTAGCAGGAGGTGACATAGGGAGCTGGAGAGAGAAATCAATGAACAGCAAAGAATCTATTTAGCAAAAACTTACCTTTAGTTTCCTTTAATCCCCGGGGAATGAATCTTATCTTTTGGGGATTTTTCTGATTTATAATCTGTTACACGGTCACAGAATTTCCCTGTGTTGTGTCCAAGAACCAGTTCTAGTCAAATCCCATGAAAGAAACGTTTTCTTTATGCTGGGTAGCGTGGGATCCAGAGATCATAATATCAGCACAGTTTGTGAGCATTGGTCAGTGTTATAAGATCAGGCAATATCTTTGTTACTTCTTTTATGGAAAGCATAACGGAAATGACTTACTAAAGGCTATTTCTGAATAGATCACTGTAAGAGAAAACTACTATTATCTGAGAAAGGCATCTGAGGTGCATTTAGGGTGTGACCAGCTTAGTTCCTTAGCGTTAAATTTAGAAGTTCCCTTATTTTTCAGGGTTTTTGTTTTTGCCAAATTCAGAATTTCTGTAACATAGTGTTACAATTGTATGTCTTAAAAATCCCATCACCATGATTTTTGGGCCAATAATGTATATTCTATACATGCCCAAAGCTATATTTTTGCCAAGAATATTTATTTCAATTTCATGTGGCAATAAAAACTTGTGAATTTTACTACAAAGCTCTCTAGTAGGAAGAGAACTTTAAAAAAGCATTTTGAAAAGGCGGACAGGAGAGAAGATCTGTATAGACATTAGCCATAGATTGGTGACTTTATTGTATTTGTCCAAACATATAATGCTCCCATACTGGAAACTGTCCTAGAAATAGTAATACATATAACGATCAATATAGTTAAACAGCTTAACTCATTGCCTGATTCAGTATTAGATATGATCATTATAACACTCAAGGAATCCCAGGACACAAATCAAGGAGTAGTGATCAAAACTTATGCAATGAATAGAGGTGACCTAAGAGCCATACGAGAAGGAATCTGAAGTGGGGGCACCATTCATTATGTGAATGACCATAATGTGAAAGTGCCAGCCCAATGGGTCCTGTGTGATACGGGATTGGGTAGGGAGGGGAGCTGGCCTTTGAACTCTAGTTGGTGAGATGAGTGTGAGGAAATCCCACCCCTGACTCCCTGCTGCCAGCCCATCTATTACTGAAGAAAAAGAATCCACCCTGCCCAGTCCAGCTGGAGCTATGGGATGGGTTACAGGCCATTCTCTTGTCTCTGGGCCAATCAGCTGGCACAGAAACTGGGCTAGAGAATAAAAACACGTGATTAGGTCAACAGTAAATGTTGCTGCTGGTCCTTGTTAGAGGAAGGAAACAGCCTGGGCTCAGGGTTTGGCCAAGGGAGAAGGGTTTTGAGTCTTCTCCCCAATTCTAAAATCTCAAATTTTGTTTAACTTCATCACGGAGTGGGGCAAAGGTTTTGGCCTGAGGGCGATACCTGTGTAGGCAAATAGTACGGCAGGTCCTAAGTGCTTGTTTGCTTCACCTTCTTCCAGTGGCTGATTCGTAATGAGCTATGTAAGGAACCTCTGATCCCACTCCCCAGCAGGAACTTGAGCGTCAAATGAAAAGGTCCAATGGGTTCTATGCAGCCTGTGGAGTAAGGTTATGTGCAAGTTTGCTGTAAGGTTCACCCATCCCTGCTTTGTCATCTTGAGAAATGCAGAACTTAGCCACCTTAGCAGTAAAGACAGTACCACAATATGTAGTGTGTGTCTACAGATTTTTTCAGGCTACACACTGGGCTGTGAACTGCAGCTGCTGGCAACCCTCCAGTTTCCTACCCCCAAACTTAACTTCTGTTTGTGAACTGATCTTTATCAGATCAAGCAGACTCCAGCTGTGCCCAAGATCTCTACAGCCCATTTCTGTGTGTGTTCGCGTGGGGAGCCGGGGGATGAGGGGAGGGGAAAGGGTCGATTCTGCATACACATGCTTAAATTTTGCAGAGTCCTGTATTACACAGTGTTGCAGAATTCCTCCAGGGGATACAAGTCTAATGAAATGAGAGGTTATTGTAACCCCATTTTGCCATCTGTAAGGTCCTTACTGATGTCAAAGGATCAGATACTTACCTCCCATTCAGTATGGATCTAGATTTAATATAGTTAATAATAGAAGAAAGGAATAGAGGTATAAATGGTTAATCAATCATTTAAATACAAAGGATAGGAAAATGTTTCTGTCAGGTTTGTAGAAGTGATGGGACAGGCTGCTGGCTGGCAAAAATCTCTCTGCTCCCTTCCAAAAGATTGGTAGGTCCTCAGGGTATGCTTACACTTGCCTCCTAGTTCGAACTAGGGAGGCAAATGAAACATACTGAAGTTGCTAATGAAGCGCGGGATTTAAATAACCCGTGCTTGATTAGCATATTCGTGGCTGATCTCCATTTTAAAATGCCGGACGCCCCGATTTAACTTGCTGCATGTAGACGCGGTAGTCCGATCCAAAACCCTTCCCTCAAATTAACTGTTACTCCTATTTGAGGAGAGATTTTCCTTGCATCAGAGGGAAAATGAATGGTATGATCCTGCTCCTGCTCATATTAATTTCAAAGGGAATGCCCCTGATTTCACAGGCAGGGCCTGATTAAGGGGGGGTAGCCAGGCAGCTGCCTGGGGCACTAACTTATGGGGGCACCTGATGGCAGCTGTATGGGGTGCCGCGTGCCCGGGGCCACGGGCCGTGTGGCACCCCTTAGAGCTGAAATCAGGCGCCGCACACCCGATTGCAGCTGTAAGGTGTGCAATGCGCCGGATGGGCGGGGCTGCACATGCATCACACGCCCGCTGCCCAGGGCACAGGCATGGCTTGAGCCGGCCCTGTTCACGGACACCAGGATTAGGCCCTGAGTGAGGATGACGGTCCACTAGATACACTGAACACAGGGGAACGGAATGAGGGGAACTTTCTCTTCTCTCATTTCTTTGAATTTTATGATCATTCCAGATCAGTGGTTCCCAGCCAATCATTGTGGGCCTCATATGCTCCCACACGACATACATGGGCTGCAGCTGTGTGCTGATTGGGCTGCAAGCAGCCTACATGCTAAGAACCACTGTTCTAGAGATATCTCCAGCCCATAATAGGGTCTTCCAGGTTAGTTGCCATAGGGATGTAAGTGGCCATAACCCTATTATCGCTGTTATCTGCCCCATCTTCAAACACCCCCCGGAGCATATTTTTAACAGATCCTCTGAATTGTCGATTCCTGTCGTTCCCAATGAGGAACTAAATAACCAGGCTGATGCTGCCATTGACAGAGGCCAGCATGAAAGGGACAGTGTTGAGGTCTACAATATCAACAGCACTCTGGAGGAGGAAGACAACACTAAGGGGAGCAGGAAAGAGGTAGGAGAAGAGGATGGTGAGCAGGATAATGATGTAGAGCTGCCCTGGCTGGCATCACTGGCAGCTCCATTGGACTTTAATGAACACGGTCTGACCGGTCAGAACCATGATGGGGGTAAATATCAGAAAATTTGTGGCAGTGAGTTGAAGAAGCATCATTTTGCAATGTGCATAGTATTTCCAAAAAGCAAACAAAGATCTAATTCCGGTGAGCATGCAGGAGAGTACCCAGATCACAGTGCAGAGAATGGCAGACAAGTGCTGGGGGTGGCATCAGTGCCAGATGTGGAAAAGGGCAGGCACACGCCTTTCCACACTGATAGCTGCCAGGAGGTACAGGCTGGTGCTGTACATAAACAGAAGCAGGAAGTCCAAGAACATGCATAGGTACAATAAGTCAAATTGTGAAAGAAATAGCCCAGCCGAAGAGGCAGCTGAAGTCAGGGAACCAGAGGACGATTCCATTTCCCACGAGCCCCATTAGGCAGATGAGAAGAGTGACACCAGTGACTGCTGTACTTTGGAAATTGATCACAGTATATGAGATTCCATTTTCCAGGCTGCCCTCTG